GATTTTTCATTTTTTTTTGGCATAGCTAAATGCTCTGAAAATTTACAGATGTGTACTTCACATAATGCAAAACCCACTAAAAAAGCTTCAAAAAATAATAAAATTGTTGAGACCCCGAACTAAAGTGAAAACAAAAAGTAAAAAGTGAAAAAAAAACGTGGGTGAGCACGTTTTGACACTGCCATCTTTGGCGATTTTTAATCCTTATTTCACTGAATTAAATGACTTGAAAATTTATAGGCATGTACCTCACGTCATAGAGAACTCACAAAAAAAAGTTCAGAAAAAAAGTATATTTGTAGGCCCCGAAATAATTTTTGGCGGGGGCCGAACGCCGTCGAGTTCGGACCCCGTACGGGACCCCGAACGCCTGTACGTACGGAGGTCGGCCCGGGGACCTCCGTACGTATGGCCTGGTGACCCTGTATATATATAAGGCACAGACGGTCTGCCTTTCCTTGACAGAGACTGGTGGGAGATCAGTCCTTCTGATACCCATTAGGCCTGCTAAATCGGCAGTGCTACGGACTTTGCAGACTCCTTGCCTTCCCTCCGGCAGGGAAGGACTTGTATCGTTTGGCCTTTTTTTTTTTTTTTTGAGATTCCTTTACCTAGGGTGGGTTTGGTGGATAATGGTACTGTTGACAGAATGTGGACCATTTCTCGATTTATGGGTGTCGTCATCCATTCCATGATTGCGCAGGGGCCATGCTAATCTTCTCTCTCTGTATGGTTCCAAGTTCAACGGATGTCCCGAAGGACCTGGGGCGAAGTCCCACTAGCAGCGCTGACTTTGCTCAAACGCCTGAATCTGGATGTGTTTGTGGAGATGAGCTGTTGAGGAAACTCGACGCTATTTCTGCACACCTCCTGAAACACGTCCAGATTCAGGCGTTCGAGGAAACTCACCACTGCTAGTGGGACCATCTCTCGAGGAAACTCAACGCCATTAATTATGAATGCATACAACCGTGTTTTCCGGTCAGATAACGAAACACAATTTAATCATGTAAGTGGTTTGGAGCGGGAGGTGTGTCCCACAGCCCCTTTTGGTCATGAATGATGGTGGCATCGTGGCACTCGATCAGAGACTATATCTCAAGCCTTTTCTTTTTCCTGGTGTGATTTGTCACGCCTTTGTTTCCTTCTTTGAAAATAAATGGTTTTTAAATGTTGATTTTTTTTTTTTTTTTTTGCTGACTGCTCTTCTTTTTTTTTTTTCCTTTTCTTTTTCTTTTTCTTTTTTCGTTTTTTTGCTTTCTGGCCTTTGCTGATGCTGGCAATTTCTGTGTGTGTGACATTGCGTAGACCAGATGATCCGGCAGTGGCAGATGAATTGGCCCGGGAATTCGCTCGTCTAATCAACGAAAAGCAAACTTCTCGCCCTTTCGAAGTCAGGCCTTCAGCATTGTTGCCCCCTACAGCTGTAGTTGAAGCACTGGTAAGTCCTCTTATCTACCTACACGGTCAAACCACCAAAGGAGGCCTCTTGGCTGGCCAAATTGATGTGAGGGATGCCGGGCCCGTTTCCCCGCTTGTGTAAATAAAGTATGCTGTTTTTTGAAGGAAAAAAAAAAGGGAGATTACTCCCCCCCCCCCCC